TCCGACCCCCCTCTTGGGGGGAGTTTTTTGGGGGAGTTTTGTTATATTGTATATTTTTGCTGTCTTTTATTTCCAAATTTTTAAGCAATAGTTTTTTCAGACATTTGAAAAGATATATGCAGAATTGTGACAGTTCATAATATTGATGTCTCAATAATCGAAGAATTTGAATCTTAACTATTTTCGTTGTATCCGTGATTAATTATACGTTATGTACAATACGTCGAAAAAGATTTATTCGTTTGTAAATAGATTTTCCGTATTGTTAGCACAGGTGCTTAGTCACGATAGCTCAAGTTGAATAACCATGGTTAACGATTCGTTGTCCCTTTCAGAATTACAGTCCTACCTGTAATACAGGTTCTCCCACCGTTATCAAATGTCGGCCACAGATGCTATAGAATAAGCAACAGACAAGAATAATGGTGATTATTTCGATGTCAAGACGTCAATAGTTGCAGAGAATAATATGAAAAGAATACCATTATTCAATTACAACAGATTCAGCGAATAAAACTTCAGAGATAATAAAATATAAAAAAATTAAAAATACCGTTTGTCAGGTAGGTTTTATCTGAATAGAAATTGTTTGTAGAGATTTTTTGAAAAAAGCTTTTTGTTTATAAAAATATTTGATTTTTCTTTTTTTTTCGAAATCGAGCTAGATGGAAAATATATTTCCAGATTGGAAAACCAAAGCAAGTAAGTTTACAAAAACTATTTCTTCACAAGAGAATAACTGTGACAAATATAAATATCCTCGAATTTTTAACGATCGTTATCTTGAAACGTACGACGAAGGGTATAAATTATGCAAGTAGGAAAGGTATTAATTTTTGATTGTGTACGAGAGTGCCCAATAATATTACTAATACGAACTATATATGCCTGCGCTCAACAATGTTTATTAATACCAAGCGTATATTTACTGGAGCGATCGAAGCTGGTCCACCCAGCGTGAAATGTCGATACTGTATGACGAGTGCGTGAAATGCGCGTTCGAATGTGGGCTACGAGCACTCGCATCTCGAGCGCGAAAGAGCGAGGTGAAACATTTACGTCTCGCATCGGCTGCGTCGTAACGAAGCGGAGCGGTACACGTGTACCTCAATAAATAATGCATTCATCGTTCTTTCCATTCACGTGGCGATACGTACGTGGACGTTCGCGTCTCTAACGTCCCGCCGTCGCGGTAACAGCGGGCCGGGATGCTTTCCGCTCTATAGCCAATCGCCGCCGACTCGTTCTTATTCCGACGTGGTGATCGACGACGGTGGTGCGTTTGCTTTCGCGTTGCATCGCGTCGCGCCGCGAAGGCCAGCGACTTTCCGCTTGTTTGTGCGCGCTTTATTTTCCCTCCGGCATTCGTAATCGCAGTGAATATCGTCAGTGAGGGTCCTCGTAAAACGTGTCTTTCGACTGCCTGTTTCGATCATCCATGACGAGGTAGCTTGGTATAGTCGACTTGAGCTCGCGATGGACGTAAGGTATGTCTTCTAGTTTCCTCCGATAAAAAGAAAGAAAGAAAATTATAAGGAAATGATAAGAAAAATCTTTCTTTTCTTACTTGTTTTGTTTTCCTTTGTTTATAAAACAGTTATTTTCTCTTATTACCGTGTTTCTTTAGATTTTTTAAAATATACATATTTTATGTGTTTTTTTGTTATTATTATGCTGCAATGATAGCGATTTAATTGATGTTTATATAAAATCTCCGGTTATTTTATAAAATAATTTGCCGTACGACTAATGAGAATTTAAAATCAAATACGCATTTATTGATAATTTGTAAAATCAAAGCACTTAACTTCATGTGTTTATTTTCATAAAATCATTAGTGAAAAATTCATAAAATCATTACGTGTTTGATTTCATAAAATGGTAGATGATTGTATCAGATAGGAATTTCTTACATTTGCCGACCTTTTCTCGCGGGATTTTTTTTTTTTTTTTATAGCAGTGTAACATGGAACGTTTAATCTGCAAGTCACAGAATGGGATTAGTTGCTCTCTTTCCAACGTATTGATTTTATCGAACAACTTAAGTTTCGATATCCATGAGTATGCGAGCGTGACGTAATCAATTTTACCGGCGACGGACATAAGGGAGATTTTCCAATCTGTGGAATGAGAACAATTGTATGAAGAAGTGTTATATGAACACTCATATGACATTCGTCCCTTTAATTCCGAGTCATAGAAAGGGATTAGTCGGTCTCCTTTCGAGGTATTGATTTTATCGAGCAAATGATTCATTTACTAGTGACATCGTACGTTATTTTCTATGCGTCGTAATGTCAGTTTTTTTATCGCTACACTCAAATTTTTAATTATTTCTAAATTAAGATCAAAGATGATAGATGTAGGAATATTGGAAGAATTTTTAAATGGAATGGAATTATTCTCACTTTAGGGCATCAATTAAATAAAGCAAATATGAGCAAATTTTAATGAAATTGAAATATTCAATACGATGAGCGAACGAAATTAAATATGATGGGGCAGAGAATAATTCAGAGAGTAGCGCTGCTGTTTAATCGAAATAAATCGCGATTAATATTATATATCTAATTGAATAATGAACAACTTTATTATCCCCAGAGAACTTAGTTTGGCTGTATGATAAATCAATTTTTATATATTTTTTATCAATTTAAGATATTATCTATATATTTTTATATTTTTTATTCTACATGTACTATTCATCGATTTTATTTTTTCGTATGATTCGTAATGGCTTTTATTATTATATTATTTATATTATTTTTCATAATTATTTATATTTGTTATTACATTGAATCAGTTTTATAAATTTGATGTCAACAAAATAATAAATAAAATATTAATTTAATAATTAATTTGTTGAAATTACGGTATTATATATCACTGAAATGTTATCCTACTGTTTTATTTGTCGTTTTTTTGTGTTTACTTAAACATTTACCTCGAGGTAAATAAACTCTTACTCATCTACTTAACTTATCTGTCTATAGATCGAGTTATCTATCACTCTTTTCCGTCCCCACTGTTCTTCCTTCGTACTTTATCGTTGAAGGACACGTGGTCCGTGCTACTTTATACTGCTTACGTACCGATCTACTTTTGACATATTTGCGCTATATCATTTACGTTTATTGCTTTGTCGAGATATGATCTTTCGTTTTGACAATATCTCATTAACGTATTAATCTATATTTTTTATGCTAAATTTCACATACGTTTGCAAAATAATTAGTTCGTAAAAAAATCAAACGTACCAATGATATGTTAGCGCAAACAAATACATATATTACAATATTCAAAAATGCATTACAACTGAATCTCATATTGTTCAAACACAATTACTTATTAATAGCATTCGCAATTTGATGAAGTCATATAGTTATTTTGGGATTGACATATTTTTCATGACAAATAATAAAAATACTTGAACTGTGTTATTACGATGCTATAATAATGCAATGTGAGTTATTTGAGTTTTATTTAAATATGTCAGTATTAAGCGTGTTACATGTCTAAAGTTTGAAATATATAAAACACCGCGATATCACGCCAATATTATTGAATTTATGATTATATTTAATAACTCATAACTTCCGACTTAACCGTCGAAAAATAAGATATCTCCCGTGCTTGTTGAAAATTCGCGCAGAGGCCGCCGCGACTATGTGCATATTTCAGCATGCGTATAAAAGCGTGTAATAAAAAGTGCGCGTATATTTTCCAGGATGCAGGAACCGGCATTCCCGCGCCGAAAAGGGATCCTCGCCCCTGTGTCGGTGTTGGTGTTGCTGATACTACCACTGGTCGATTTACCCTCTGCAAATGGTGAGTCATCTACGAACGCGCCGGGCGCGTATGTGTCCGCGCGTAAGTACACACACGCGGATCGTACGAGCGCACGTGCACGCACACCCCGATCTCCTCGATAATGCGTGAACAATGAGGGAACAGTAAATAGTTACGTCTATTCGTTCATATGCGCATCCTTGAATGCCACTTACGTGAGCCCATCTCCATTTCACATACCGATGTGTCTCACAGTGTGTTATCACTTTAAAAGAGTGATAAAGGCCTTTTAAGATCTGCTGCAGCAACGATCTTAAGTGTACTGTTATCGAGCGATATCACCAAGTCGCTGGCACATAGATAGCATCAATTTTTAACTGCTTTAAGAATTGCTGGTCTGTTCAATAATACCTGCATGTCTCTGCCTTTCCTTTCTCCCAAGTTTTCTATATATGGAAAGGTGAAAAACGTTCAGACACTGCGAATTTACAAAAATTTTTTGACAATTCTGTGTCTGAATCGTGCTATTTGAAATAAATTTATATTTAGAATTTAAATGCTTTATACTGAAATTGAAATTAAAATATATTAAGGCTGAAATAATGAAGTAAATTCAAAGGAATAAATAAGAAGCTAAACAGCCGTTGCTAGATGGTTTCAAACTACGATTTAAACAATGATATCATTACGAATAATGTATGTATAATTTCAATTTTGTTGCGTTTTATTCTTATTATATTTTCAATTTTTTAATTCAAATTTCTTTGCGTTTTAGTGTAATCAAGATAATGTTTAACAATTTTCTTCTTTTTATTTACTGATATCTGTGATTGACCTCATCATCTATAATGCATCAAGTAATTTTTTAATACACAACTAACAACAACATACATCAGCGATGTTTTATAATAATTCGTTTAATTCGTCCGTAAAAGCGTTTTAATTTGTAATGTAATATTTCATTTATTATGAACTTGAAAAAGATAACAGGTCGAAACGTTGTTTTTATTATTTGTCTTTGAATACACGATCATCTAGCAACGGCTGTTTAGCTTCTTATTTATTCCTTTGCTTTATATTGTCTCGATTTTGACTTATTATTTCCAATACAACAAGTAATGTGAAACATTAATTATTAGAAATTTTTAATTAATTTTGTTTATTTAAAATAGGAACAGGACACGATACTTGTTGAGAATTAATATATTTTCCATCAGACTTTCTTTCAATTCATCACTTGTCAAATGACAATCTTTTATCATTGTAACAGCTGCAGCGTTAAATAGCACGATGATTACATTTCAAATGAAAAGCTTGTTAAAGTCAACCTAAAATAATCGAAAGACAAGTTCTTGTTATTTATTTGCGTTCTCGAAGAACACGCAAAACCTCTTTCTCTTTACGAGTTCACAGCTCAAGAACTGTTCACATCTTGATGTGTTTATTAAGGAAAATTCATTTTAGTTTTAAAAATATTGCCTCGCGCACCAAAGACACCAAACGCCTCGTATAAAAGGAGCATATTTAAATGTAGATTTGAGAGCACCCCGTTTCCGTTACGAGGAAGCCTGTTCATCATGTTTTTCCCGGGTTAAGTCGTCCTCTTATGTTTCTTCGTGTCTCACACGCTCTCGTCCGATTTGGATCTCTTTGCGCGCGGGACTCGCGTTCCCGCAGACGTACTCGCGCGCTCGTTAGCTCGTTAACGAGTGGTCCCTCTCTCCCCTCACTTCCTCTCTTTCCACGGCTTCGCGCGCCTCGCTCGCGGGCCTTTCTCAAAAAGAGCTGTTAACCGCGCGCACGAGGAAACGCAAGACGCACAAAACCGTCGCCGCCGCCTGTCGAGCGGCTGTCCGCGCGTCCGTGGTATCTGTCGCCGCCTCTTCCCGTCATCGTGGAAGAGCACGACAGGCAGAGAAACGAGAGGCGGAGATGCCCGCTCTCTCCCTCCCCCGCTTCCCCCGGTCGCGCCGAGATAAATGATGTTCTTTCGACGAAAGATGCGTGTCTAAAACGGTCGACGTTCTCTTCCTCGCCCTTCTTCGCTTTCGCTTGTGCCCGCGTTTGCTTGCTGGCTGCTCGGTTCGCGCGTGGCGCACGTGCGCACACCGTCTGTCATACAAGGTGTCCCAGAACCTCCACCCTGATGGATTGATCTTTTCCCAAATTAAATCGCGCGATAATCTTTGACTTATAAGCGATCGCGAATGAGGGGATTCGGCTTTCTCGCGAATTTAAGAAATTCACTGCGGCGCGATAAAGGGGAGGCTTTTCGTTGTCCGCTTGAATGCAAATGGACACTGCCTTCAGCGCTTGAATATTTCAGAACTCTAATTAGGGATGATTAATGTCGGCTGTTGCGAGTAATGGCCTCTTACGAAATTTCCCCTCGGGAAACAGCGGACTCCATTTTCGTCGATGCGCCCGTCATTAATATTAAGGTCGCATCGATTCTGAGACACCCTGTAGACCGCTGTCGCGTGTGTATCCCATTTCCCTTCGCGCACCCTTCGCTCCTCCGCCCTCTTCCCGGTTATTTCTGACATTCGCCACCGTTCGCGCCGCCGAGCAAGCAACCACCCCGAAATGTACGCGCGTTCGATCGAACGCACTAAACATCGCGCGCCGGTAAATATACGCACTGTGAAACGAAGGTTCGGGCCTTAACCCTTCGGCCAAGGGCGTTTTATCGCATGGTCTCGAGGGACCGCGGCCTGCAAGATCCATATTTCATAAGGACTCGAAGTACGGTCAGCCTAACGGATATCGGTTCCTTTTTTTAAATAGAATAATTTATTAACTGGCAAAAGTCAGGCAAACGTGACTTTAATGTGATTTTCATATTTGCACTCGCCCTTTGAAACTAGATGTGGCTGATTTCATTCTCGATTCAAAACTATTGCGTGCAATCTTTGCTCGACAAAGATAATCCAGTATCGATAATTATTTCGATAACACGAGAGAAGCAAAGCGATACATTGAATTCTGTTCTATTCTCTTGGCTCTGTACGGCTGAGAACTTTCCGTCGGAGTGTTCTCGTTCTGTCTGGCAACTTTTACGCTAGAGCTTGCTAAATGCCGCTTGCTGACTGGTGACTAAGATAAACAGGCGACGACGGTTGGGAAAATGACAAGCAATGCGTTCCGCGAGTCGTTAACTGCCTTTTTTTTCTAACTGACGCATTCCGAGCATCGCTCGTCGCTTAGCCATGCGTACACAGCGTAACGCGCTGCGTAGTGTTATTCTTCCATTCCGACTCTCACGCCCCTGCAACAATCGTGTATTGCCCCGATAGCAATTTTCTAATCGTCCATTCCTCTTAATGAAAGCCCTGGCCACATGGAGCCTCTTAATTCTCCCAATCAAACGATACTTCGCTTTCAGATTCTTCACCTGAGTAAAACGGACATAGACTTTGATTGAGAAGGAAATTATTTACTTTTGAAAGAGAAAACTCATTACATGGGGATTATTGAACTTGATAAACAGTCATGTCGTTAATTTACAATTAGTGTTACAATAAATGAAACAAAATATAATGAAACTCGCTGACGAGATTTTAAGTTGAGATCATTGCGAACATAATAATTAAGAAGTACACTCATATAGTTTATACGTTATAATATAAATTATATACTCGCGACGAATAAAAGTATGTAGAATACAAAATAAATCTAGCCTGTAATTTTTTTAATTTAATTCCAATTTAATTCTGAATTTTAATTTAATGGAATTTTAACGCTTGGAAAGATATACTGAAATCCGTTTTGACGGTTGCGCTAAGAACTTTGATTAAGCTGAGAGAATTTCATTTGCCAGATATTCTTAATTGATTGTTAATTCATCGATCTTTCAGCTGTCAAGAAATTTGACAACAATTAGTGCCCTATTAATCCTTCTTTTGATTCGTACACGATAATAAGATGCTTGTAATCGTTTAAAGCGCACTCTAAAATTCAACGTGACCAAGCGTGTTGACAAAGAGTTTCCTCACGTTTCAGGAGCTTGCGAGTTTCCATCGAGCTGGACGGGAGATTGGTACCAGCATGGATATGGGAAACAGAACGATGTATTCAATATAAACACGACCCTTTTTGGAGATAAGGCGTGCGTCGATAGAATGGACGACAAATACGTCGTGTAGTAAGTGCCTATTAATCGAAATTCCAATACAAAATCGACGCGAAAAAAATGATTATGATTGTCTTGCCGTAAATTACGATTCGCAATCGATAACAACTTTGCTTTATCGTTTCAGCGACGGGAACTGTTATTTCTGTATGATCATCAACAGACGGCATGAGAATGTTATTCAGTATCGCGAAGGTACGTTCAGCGTTTGAGATTGAGTCGCTCGAATGTGCGATTAGTCGCGAAAGAATTTGTTAAAATTAATAATAATGACTTTCTCCAGGCTTGTGCAACCCCGAACGATTAAATTTGGATGGCATATGCGGGTTGATTAATTCGGACGAAATGCTCTACTCGGTATTTCGCGTGAATTCAACGTCGATACCTTGCCCCTTCAATGGGGCGTCATTCACATTTACGTATAATCGAGGTTCCGGCGAGTGCACCACACCTATAAGTCTCGCGGAAAAGTGCACCGACGAAAGCAAGCTTCTTCTCAAGTACCAGGCCTGCCCGGATGTCATGGGCACCGAAAGTAATGGTATGTTGATCTCTTGTTTGAAACGATTTAGTTTATTCTTAATATATCATCGCGTTTCTTCAGCACAAAACACTTTGACAAGCTGTTTTCGCGTCAGCTGTTTTGCAATTAATAACAGGCTTGTTTACGAAAAAAAAAAAAAAAACGAGATTAATAACATGTTTATCAATGTTAGAGCAATGTTTGCTGCAAGACAGTACTAATTTAGTTTGCCCGATAATTTTTTTATAACGCAAGCGATATATATGATTTTTCTAATCTTTCATGATTTTTCTATGAATAGACGTATTTTATAATATGAAATGTTTTTTGTGCTCCATGAAATATGTCGAATATTTTGCAGCCGAAGAATTACAATGTCTTGCCGTTTGGAACGATGGTCGAAACAAGTATCTGGTGGGTACTTTGAAAGAGAGGAGCGCTTTGGCCAACGAGAAGCCTTACAGGTGAAACATGTCATTTTAATTTCATGCAACGTAGACTTTTTCTGAAGTCTGCGATGGCGGTGGCCCTTTCGCTGCAGCGCGATTTTGTCAGCATGCTTATACTTGCGCGCGTCGAGTTGCTTATTTACGTCCACCGCACCTGTACGCCAGATGTTTTATGAACTGCGGTTTCCGCATGTCACATTTTATTCAGCATAGCGGTGTTATTCGTGGTATAAAAGCGCTATAACTGGAGTTGGCAAGATGAAAGGACGGTTAACCACTTATTTGTCATCTTTTGCCTAGCCATTATTATATGGGCTTTTTCCCATACAGACGTATATATAAATATGTACGTCGATGGGTGCGATAATTAATAAAGAAGAGTAGAATACAATTTCCGAAAAATTTGAAATCATCGTGAAATAATGCCTTTTTCCCTAACAGGTGTTTTTTATACGAAGAAAAACCTCATCATCAAGGAAAGATGATTTATCTGCTTGCTCAGTCCGGCGATCCGACCTGCAACGGCCTAACCACAGTTTCCGAAGGTTCGCGCACCATAAAACTCATGAAAGGTAATTATGCGAATAAATTTGAAAAATATTTTCTCAGCGTCAATGAAAATTTTCACTTCACTTTTCGTTGCGTCTGTTACAGCCGACAAAGATCATAGCAGTAGATGCAAATATCCGGGATGGGTAACTCAGCATCACGATTGGCATTCTCTCGATGGCACAAAAGATTATCACTTTACGAACAAAAACGCCACGCTGAAAATTAAGGCGCAGGATACCGACGGCGAGGTGTTTCACGAGGAGAAAATCGTTTGCCACAATTTGGAGAAAATGTATCCGAACGACAATATGCAAGGAAACAAAGTGAAACTGGTTGCTCACGTCACCAGCGGCTGGTAAGAGGTTTCTCAATTCTTCTGCAGTTTGTTGCAATACCCCATTACAATTGAATGAATCTATTTTTACCTATGATTGCAGCGACATCGGTTACATTTGCATGATATTCCACAGAAGAGACAGTCACATAATCGAAATACAGCAATCAGGTGATTATACTTTGGCTGCGTTAAAAAAAAAACGGATGCAATAAGCAATAACAAGCGGTAACAATAAGCACTAACTATTTCCTCTTTTTACTGCAGATCATAAAGCGATTATGCCAGACGAAGCATGCTCCATGTCGGATCCTTCCATGATGCCGTATACGACCTTAATAAGTAAGTGCTAATTCGCGTGCCGCGTTGTCGCTCATAAATATTGATGTAAGAAATCTGCCGCTCATTATCGCGCCCGTTACTGCGGTAATGCGGGCTGGCGGGCAAACAACAAAACGTATGCAAATCATGTCTGTTTTCGTTTTACAGCCGCGTCCTTACATCAGAGAAGATGTCCTAATCCGGGACGATACAGAATCATGGATTTCGCTCCGTCGGATATGCTGTCGACCATCATGGCCGGGCGACAACGGCGTAGCGAACTGAGGAAAGCCAAGAGGCGAACGTGGCAGGAAACCGGGGATGAGGAGTGCAGGAGTACAGATATTCAAGTGGGCTGCACCTCGTCCGATCAGACCGAAATGATAATCTCCAATACGTGTGAACATAAAGAGATTGGTAAATATGAGTGAATTTGCACGACACCCTTTTGTGATTTACGCAAAAAGTATATGCAGAAAAAACTAAGAACATGATTTATCTTGGCAGCCTATTTTTGTCACGGCAGCTGGGAGGAGAAAGGCACGTGGTACACGATAGCATCGCAACGAAATTCCGAATTCCCAGTCGGCCTAGGGCAAACATTTTGTTTTTCCATGCGCCTCGAGAGCGCTAGAGGCAGAGTTTCGGGAAGAGGCGGTAGACAAAAGCAGCATGAGCAAGAATTATGGCTGTCAAAACCGTCGCGTACTTGTCGAATAGAAACTAAGGATGAATGGACGTACAGATTGTCGAATCAAGGTAATCAGACATCAGATATTATTACGAAGAATGGTAAAAAAAATTGCGGTTTTATAAGGGTACAAAAATTATTAGCTCTTAATAAATTATGTTGTCATTGAAATTGTACTGTTTGTAGTAGAAAACAAATAAATGTTATATTTGTTTCTCGCTACGAAGAGTACAATTGTCATATCTCTCTTATCGGGATGGAAGCTGTTCATTTAATGGAAGTAGCGAAGTAATTATTCGCATCATAATTCGATTTAGAACAGATTACACCACGTTTGGTTTAGATGCAAGCGTGCTACGTAAGCATGATATAAATATTCAACATTTACATTGTGTTACAGGAATGTGCGAGGATTTAACGAAGGCAGCTTCGAGCGCAGCGTCTGCCTCATCGATGTCCCAACTTCTGTTTACCTTAAGCAAAGTAGCTTACATCGCTATTAATACGCTATGGGTATTATTCTCGAGATGATCTGCAGCTATTACGTAAGAAGTCGAGGTACTGTAATTTCCAGCACGGATTCTCAGGTATTGCGTGTTACTGGAAATGTATATATAGTTCACACAAGTTTGATAGCTATTGATCGATCAACGAGCTGTCAATATAAGAATGACGTGGGAAGCGTGCAGCTAGCAGTCATTATTGACAATATTAATTTCCGTTCCGTTCAAAGCAGCAGCCTAATTACGCAAATCGGTGATTATGATTGTTCCCAATTGGAAACGAGACAATTTGTACACATTTACGAGTGTACAATTATTTTTTACAATATTACTTGTTGTAATTTATCGCGAATTCGTATTTTAAACGAATCACACACTGAATTTTAGATTACTAGTTTTCAATATAACATTTACAATACATTTATTATCTTAGCTAACAATTTTTATTACTGCCCAAATTGTTGACTGATTAAAACAGCTTGCGACAGTTTTGTTGCACGCACAATTTTCTGATCGCTCGTATGCTTTCCATTCAGTTTTGCGCGAAAAAGAGAAAAGAGAAACTGATAATATATATATATACATATATATATATATATATTCAGGACTGGGCAGAAATACCGTAAATATGCATTTCAGATATAGGAGTATTCGGTGTGACGAAACCAAATTTTCAATATAAAATATATTGATAAAAATGTGATTGAAAGAAAATATAAAATGCGAGATATTCTTTGAAGATTTGCTTCGAAAATATAAAATGTAGAATAGTATTTAAACATCTATGCCATATACGTGCATTTGGAAATACTACCTAGTCCTGATGACACTTTTGAGATTACGCGAATGTGTTTTTTACGCGACAGCCTCGAATCACGACCACTTCTGAGTATCTAAAACTCGAAGACTCACATGTATATTCTTAAGTCTACCGCGCTACTGTAAATACGACCAGGGTATAAGTAATCGAGATTTCAATTGGGTTATTTTCGAGTAAAGATTGGGATACACACTGTGTAATTACAATTCAACAGATTGAACTCGTACTTGGATCTAATATAATAGCAAAGTACATAGATTTTATCTTTTAGCTAGTATATACAACTGTACATATATAATATAATTAAAATATTGTATAAAGACTGTTTCTAAAAGAGTATGACAAGTATACCGCTCACGATATTGCATTTCGTCGCTGGAGGTGCGTGCATTTTCCAGGATATTTTCGAGATCGCTCTCGCAATCAAAGATCCGCGCAAATACAACACTCGTGCTATCGTTCCTGAGTTCGCGAATCGAAACAAATCAATGGCAGAAAAAGTTCAACGAATTCACAAAAATATTATTAAATGTTTAACAAGTTTTATATGAGTATAAAATTTACTAGAAACGAATCTATATAAACCACAAATATCCAATTCTGTCGAGACAAGTATTGTTGTTAAATACTTTTTGATTTTTTCAAATTCGTAGAATAAGGAAGAGATACATTTTTCCTTTAGTTTTTAAAAATTATTAATTTCTGTTTTTGCAACGAATGCTCTTCGTTTTACTGTTCAATTCGTAGTGCGATCTTTTAAGTTAACGAACTTATGAACAAATCGTCAGTATATCAAAGTTTTTCGATGGACTTGGCATACACAAGCGGCCGAGTGTAGTACAACTGCGGACGCGTTAAGACACGTCTTTGTCGCGTGTGAATGTAGTGCTTTTGCATTTCTGGCACAGAATTAATGGATGTCGAAGCAGATCGATTACACATCTCAATATCTCCTATTTGTCATCGATGATACGTAGAACACGACATGTGTATCGAATTCGGACGTGCGTGTGCTTCGGTTTTCATCGCGCTCGGATATTAGAATGTTTAGTGCTATGCACGCTCGTACAATATAATGAGGTATTTCTTCCGAACAGGAAACATATTCCTTCGGCAGTCGTGCATTTGCTCGCGCGAAAAGTGTACGCTATATACCGGTTCTTGTATATTTTTAAACTTGCATTTCCTTTTTTTAATTAAAATAATTAAATTAATTATTCTTTTCTTCGTAAATTAAAATGCAACTATCGCTGAAACGATATCGATAATCTGGCACATTATACCGCGTGAATCGAACAACATTTAGTGGTGGAGTTTTTAAATATCTTTATCGTATTTCTATATAAACACTGTAACGATACAAATCCGATACGCCAACTTGGTGCCACGCGTAAACTTTATCGTGTGATTACTTAAATTTTCTGTAGGTGCGGTCCATTTGATAATTTTCGGAACGTTCCACCGGCAACGTGTGACGTAGATTTCGCTTGCCACAACTGCTTCAACTGGAGAAATGACAGGGTCAGAGCGTTGAGATACAAGTCTTAGTTTGTTTGACAATGTTGGAAGTGTTAATGGACTTTGGTCAACTCAGTGGAAGCGTAGGTAGCAAGTGCTGTCTACTGAATTGGATCGCACCTGAGCCGCGTACGTTCACGAAATTTGTAGTGATTTGAGTAGCAAGCAGAGATAATGGCATAGCAAGTAGAGATAGTGGATCTACGCGATATTACGAACGGGAGGGAGGGAAGTGGGGAATATATACGGCTCATCACGCAAAGCTCAATAGTTTTATATTTTTATCAAGTGACACACACACACACACACACACACACACACACCCTCCCCGCGAAGCGTGTACATATACAAAGTTCTATTGATTATCGCGCGTATAGTTGTACACAGGCACGCAATGTGCTCGCGAGGGAAGCGCGAGTAAAAAAATGATAGAAAAACAGCATGTACAAGAATGCATACACACGCGTCCATACAGGTTTTTTTTTTTACTTCAGCCGGCTCTACATCCATTAACTCTGTGATATCCATCACGTCTAGGCGTAAATGTGACAGCCAAAAAAGAAAAAAAAAGAAAAACGAATAAAGCTGAACTCTAAAAACATTTTTATTGTATATATTATATATTTTCTAAATAATGGACTGTTCCGGAATTCAGGAGATTTGTTGATAAGCGAAAGTGTATGGATTCGAATTATTAAATATCTGAGCAATTTAAATAACGAAAGACAGATTCTTATTTTTGTACAGATAGGGATGACCTATCGCGACGTCCTACTCCGCACACACGAAACTTCACACGCTAAGCGAAAACGTAGTCGTATATGAATATATTTTATGTAAGCTTTTTGTAATTACTGCGTTACCGTTAGCATCATCCCTCGAAAGGTGTTAAGCAGCTCTCGATCGTAGATGCCTTGATCATCGCCGTCATGAATTAATTTCATTGTCAGTAATTACGTTATCAAGCGTATCGAATATTTTATTATATAACTATTGTTTCATACGCTATTTCGAGAGAGACGCGATTTAATAATAGTGACATAATGCAGGCCTTGTTACTTTACGCGCGTTTGAAATGCGATGCAGAAACGACAACCGATGCCTTAAATATACAAGTTCTAATGCCTTATGCGAAATCACAAAAAAGTGTAAACGATCGGTTACTTTCCAACAGTACGCCTCCGTATGCAATTTTATTTGACGACATTCGACAGAATTGACACACCGTGCGTGCATATATTTAGCGAGTTTAAATTGTCACCCTTACGTGCAGCGTGAGCATGTGATCCCCTGTACAGTCGGATGCGGCTGTATTGAATTCCGGAAACAGATATTACACGATATAACTTTAAGACTTCTAAAGTAAGCTCTAATTTGTAAGGCGTGGCAACGAGAGTAATTGAAAGTCGCGCGCGAGAAACGCTGTTGCGAAAATGAGGGGGAACGCGAGAAAGTAAAGAAAAAAAAAAAAGCAAAAGCGGCGGAGATGGGAAAGAGGGCGCGAAAGAGTGAGAGACAGTGAAAGAGACGGAGGGAGGAAGAGATGAGATGAGATAGAGAGAGAGAGAGAGAGAGACAACAGCCCACAAGTTTTGTACATCCACATGCGCACACGTATATTTTGTTTATTGCTGTGATGAATTATGTAATTATAAATATTAGCGTGTAAGGCGGTTTGAATGCGGCTTTTCTTGCCATTTTAATATAATTGCAAGCATTAGTCACACTCCCGTTCGGATGTAAGCCTCTTTGAAAAAAAAACCATATGAAACGGCGACCTATTTATCCTCGATGTATTTAATTGTACGATACTTACACGACGACATCCTTGTAAAGCGCCTTGGATAAACGACTCGTCCAAAAGGCGACTCGCCGCAACGACAATTTCGTACAGAAGAAAAAAAAAAAAGAAAAAGATATCCGATTTATTTTGCTACGCGTGCGGAATTATGCGAGAACAAACTACGTCGAGATATGTTTATCCTCGCGCGAAACTAACACGGTACTTATTCAACGACGCTAATAACAGGGAGACTTTTCTTAATAAATAAAAAGATTATTGCCAACACTTGAAGTTTCACATCACTACCTTTTCGATGCTCCGAGCTATAAAGATGTAATCTATAATATTGCACGCCGTAATTGCTATTATTGAATCATTTCCCACTAAACCACAATCTCATTAATATTACGGACGTTTAATTTACATTAAAAATGCGTTTATCTTGGTTGCTAATCAATATCTCATTCATTATTTCTTCTATTCCTTTTTTTACTTCACTGATATCGATCAACTTAGAAACGTATAATTACTTGACATCTATGATTTGTCTAATTCTATGAAAAAATAAAAGATTAGCTACATTAAAATGAAAATGTATCTTGTTATAAGATTTATAACACTGGATGCGATTTAGCGAAAGGATTAACCCTAATTTATATTCTAAAGTGGTATAAATTAAACTGAAATTTAAAAGAGGTGCATAAATATTATTTGCACGGATTTGCATATAATACAAGTAAGAAACAGATGCAACGATGAACGAGGAATAATCGGAGACAAATTATGACGAAAAATGTGGAAAAAAATGCAAGTATAATGGAATTGTAAACTATAGTCGGTCGTAAAAAGAAATATATCTGCATCACGCGCATTTTAACGGAATCTGTTAAATTTTTGCACAGGTTGATTTATTTCGCGAAAAAACTTGTAACTCATTCAGCCGATCTTGGCACGTAACGACGATTTGCGTGACTGCAACAAATTTATTTTCTTCGCGCATGCAAGATTCCGGATGATTTAAAGTCCGCCAGTTTAGCGACTACAACAATGTCGGTTAGTGTAAAGCTGGATAAATTAAACTTTCTTTTCCCAGATAAGTTATTAAACGGAGGAATTATTTCATGATAAACTAATTTGCAACCGTGTAGAAAAAAATTCGTTTTACTAATTCGATTAACTTTTGCAAGCTAAATTTATTACAATTGCTTTCTTCATTTGTGAATGTCCTTATATCTGTATTTGTTTTATTATTGCCAGAATAATATGTCTATCGGAAATATACTTGAAAGTTATATATCTGCATACTACACGAGAAGAAAAAAATATTTCCACGATTGGAAACTGCTGGACCGAGAATTTTGCAATCGCAGACGGAATTCGCGCGCGATGTTCCTTTGATTCCCTCCGCGATTTCCGAACGTTTAATATCGGCGCTGCCCACGCTGATCGATTAGATCAGCTACGTCGAATGATTCCTGGCAAACGGTCCGTTCCGTACTTTTGAAAGGTATTCGAATTACTTGTGTCTCTTATTTATTAAAAAAGATCACGTAGAAAAAAAATATATAGAGATCACGCCAGTCTGCCGGTGATCATAGGTGATATTTAAGGCGCTGAGACAAATGTCAACAGGCAATCAATAAACTATCTCCGCGGGACATGCCGCGTATCGGGGACAACAAGTGGCGATAACTCTCGGTGGGATGCGGTTGTCTCTCGCGCGGCAGCTGGATCCTTATCGGCCCCATAAAGCGCCGATAAACATGCGCCGAGCGAACGACTGGTGCACCCCGCGATAGGGCGTAGGGCCGCGCGCACACTGGCCTAGTCGAAGGCAGGCACACCACGTGCTGCTGCCGCTAGACGTATAATCGATAGTGCACCGTGCTCTCTGTGCCACCGGCGGTCAATCAACCCTCGCGCGTTCGGGGCCGGCCGGATGTGATGCGCTTAACGCGAACGTAAGGTGCGACGTGTCGAAGAAACGCGGTCATCGCCTAATCCACCCGCTCTGAAATGACGAATGGACGTCCGTTTGTTCACCGTGCCGACCTGCCGTAAGTCATCTCCATCCGAAAGTATACCGGGATTACGCGATCGGTTCTGCGTTTGATATATTTTTTTTTTTTTTTTTACTTTTGTTATTCTTTATTCTTCTTTGGCCATCATTTTTTTTTAAATACTTACAATTGGTCGATATATTTCACATTCGCTGCGGCAAGTGTCAATAATTTCGTGGAAAATGCGATTTCTTCTACTCGAGAATTATTCTTCGCGTAGCTCTCTGCAGTTTTCAACGTTAAATATCATGGCTCGAGGTAGAATTTTGACTGAAATAACGGCAACTTACGATTTCGTCTACTCACGCTTTTGAAATTTAATTGGAAAGAATCTTGATTTTGCAATGTTAAAGATATCTTCGTAATGAAACTTTTTAAACAATTTTCTGATAAGATCACATTGATTAAAGATTCTCATTAAAATGAAATAAAACACACTTTGTACATTATAGGCTACGATTTAATTGTTGCAATTCGCGTTAGAAAGGGAATTACTGCAGTTAATTGAACTAAGCTGTCAGTGCGACCGGTCTCTGTAATTACTTGCGTAGCACGATGACATTTTACTTCCTCCGAGCAATCGGATGACACGTTTATCGTAAATCGAAGGTACACGAACATCATAGCGTTTCCTACAATCGTCTACTATTGCAATTAGTAGAATTGGAGCTGTGTGAAATGTAACTGCAGTTGTAGGAGAAGAGAGAATCCGTAAGACGTAATAATACATGCACGATTGTAATTTAATCCCACCGAGGATGTACTGTCATTACTATTTCGATATCGCGAGGATGTTTTGCAATAAATAACTTTGAGCAGTGAATCATTTTGCGACGCAGCACTTTTTCCCTAATTTCAATTCACTTTACCTGCATGGCAACAAGATAACAAATTGAATAACGTAGTTCGATTAAGAACTACTCCGAGCGACCCACAGTAGCAGGGTTGCATCACGTCGATGCACTATGTAATTAGAAAAAAAAGTGCAATCTCGCAAAGTTATCTATCTTGCAGCAGCGTGCGGTCTCGGAAAAGGTGAGTGGACTAAAACATATCATATTTATAGCGTTTCGCTGCTATCAAGCTTAAACTTTATCTAACAGTCAAGGTAATGTGATCTAATATATGTATGCATGACTGCAGACGTGAATCAATTTTCACAATTAAATTGTAAAAGTGCTGCAGAATCGTAAGGTGTCCATTCGAAAGATATAATGGCTTACAGTTTATAAAGTTTACATTCTAAGACGTGCAAAAATATAAGAAGCCTTCCACTGTTTCTCGTTGAACTGTTTCTTATTGATTCGCCGAAAAATAATAACTTTTGTCCAAACTCATTATTTATTTATGACTCGACGAAACAAGGTCTCCACTTGAAAACACAATGTACATTTTTGATTAATTATCTTATTCGATTACCTCCTTAATCATTCAACATAAATTATGCAAATTGTATTATAAATTATTAAAACGATGGTTTGACGCAGACGAGATAATATCGTGCTTTTAATGGAAGACTGATTCAATTCAGCCTTCAAAATAATCGAGATTAAACTTTTCTTTTTCGTCAAAATTTCGTCAAATTTAACTTTCGAAAATAATACCAATATGTTTTTATTAATGTAAAAAGATTGAACGAAAAAACAGCCATAATATTTTGCTCAGGATTTAATCCAATGATAAAATTTTATTAATGAGTTAGACAGGCGGTAATATAAATCAAAACATAAGTCCTTAAATTGAAATATTCGTTTTCGAAATTCAACAATTATTAATAATTGGCCTATTGCATGATAAATACCTACATATTGAGTTATGCTTGCGTGTGTGAACTCTATTAATTAATTAAAGTAATTTTGCATCATACCTATATTTAACGATAATGAGCAGATGAATCAAGAAAGCTCATGTAATTCTAATTGAGCGTTTTTCCAATCTCTCGATTAAAAGGTTAAATGTGGGTCGCGCACATTTCGCGAGTCGACGCGTATTTTTCGACGCATCGAGCGGCGGATCAAAACAGCGGCCGATGTAGGGCAGAACCGTCACGGGGTGAACGGCACAAGCTCTCTCGCGCTTGGTAAGACATCGCGCATCTGCGCAAACGTCGCAAGCGTTCGCCAGCGAAGCTCAATAATTTGCTGCTAACGCGGCGAAACTTTTCCCACGAGCTGTGCCGAACCGATCGAGATTGCAAGACGGGCACCGATCGCAGCCATTAAGTCGTCGCTGAAGCAACACAAAGTCGATTAACCTTCAAGTAGGAGAGTTACGTGAACGCGGCACTATTAATATACTAATGGTGCAAGTATACGCAGGTTGATTTCCTCACCTTACATCACTGTTAACGCTAATAATTGAGGATAATGTTATAATGTACTGCGTGGTTCGTAATAATATTCTTAAAGTAACGCTTTATTACGCTTTATTACGTTAGAAAGACGGGGTTTTATTTCATCTCTTCACGGGACGGAAGGGTCGGAATTGAATCTCGCGAGCAAGTTCAGCTTTCTGTGCTGCGATATTAGTATAATCAATCACCATTATTATTAATAAAAATAAAACCCAATCGTGTTAAGAGAAACGTCTATTAATGTCATCTTAAAACTGAAAAAAAGGGTAAAAATCACTCTTCCGTCTTTCGGCTGTTCACATATAATTATTTTATCACTAGGTCACTCTTTCGTCACTCTCTTATCATTTTGTCACTTAATCCGCAATTTATCATTTACCTACGTTTCCCCTTTGTATATTTTTTATGTCGAGTGTCTTAAAGGAATTACGCTCATATATTTCATTCTATTCCGCGCTGACTCATAATGCTGAACGGCGATCGTCTATCAACTTTAGGAGCTATGCGGGCCGCTCCACTTAATCTATTCTATTAAATCCATATATTCCGAGGATTAGTCAGTTTCGAAGAAAATTCTGAGTTTGTTCTACATCGATTGCGGTTCGCACAAACACGAGCATCCTCGAATCGGCCTCGCTCTTTCATCAAATCGAGCAAATCGAAAGCGTAACAGATATCGAAACAATTCTTATGAGGAACAGCACGGAGATAAC